TCCGTGGACATGTTTAAAAGTTGTGTAGACACGGTGCTTAGGGACAGGGTTTATCAGTGGACTTGGTAGAGTTAGGTGAATGGTTGGGCTTGCTGATCTTAAAAGTCTTTTCCAACCTAAACCATTAAATGAACTTCATCACAGCAATTCTGCTCACCACCTTTCCTAGCACAGAAAGAAGCATGCAACAACAGCATTTTTCCCTATTACTGTTCAATGACAAATCTTCAAACACCTTCAAGCCCTGCCCTAATAATTTGGGCAGACATGTCCAAAAGCAAGAGTGACCAAAACTACTCTACTGACCAAGAAGTACTTCACTCCTCAAGATGTCAAAAGATACCTTGAGAGAGTAAAGAAAGGATGAAAAAAAGCAAGCAAAAAAAAGAGGCATTCATTGGAACACACAATCCCAACCAAAAATACTGATTAAAATAGATCAAGACAAAATACTGCAGTGATAAACCTGAAAATCCCTAGACTTTGGAGATGATTAAGCCACATCCCTTAAAGGATTAGGTTCAAGCTTTGCGTTTTAAACAATCAAAAACTCTAGATGCTAATGAGATAGCCACAGAAGCTAGAGTACAAAGGCTCCTGAAAGAGACAGGGGACCCTGCACTGCTGAAAGATCCTGAGGTGATTCCTGTATGAGCCCAATGAATCTTCTGAAGCTACAAGACAACCTGCAGATAAAAAAACCAGACCAGTAAGATGGATTAGGTTGAGATGCTAATGCAGGTGGAATTTTTGTTTTAAAATGCCACACCATTGAAACACTACTTTTTACATGCAATACAGTCTCATTTATTTTGGGAGAATACCAAAGCTTAATTTCATCCTTTTTTTGAGCTACAAAATACAGCTCCACTACTACTGCTTAGGAATGTTAAATTTAAGTTAGTGCTGCTTCCCAATAATTTTTAAAGCATTCACACATGGTTGAGATTAGGCAAGTGATATCAAAAGGAAGACAGACAACTATTAAAAAGCACAAGCAATAGCTCTGTACACTTAATTAGCTTTTTGATAGCTTTGCTCTGTTACTGGAACCATGTTTTATGGCAGCAATTTCTTCTTTCAAAGGTACAATACTCCATGTATTGAACAAGGAATAGACATTGCCCTTTCAAAACTTGACTAAAACTTCCTGCTAACAACAGAAACAAGAGTTAGGCTTACCTTATCAGCACACATTGCCACTTTAATATCTTGCTTTGTAATCTCATAATGCCTTATATTTCGCACATAATTCCCAACCAACTTTAAGATGTCTGCAGAAATGTATTCTAACACTGCCACTATATAAACAGACACTTGGTGGTCAATTTTGTAGCCTAGAACTTCCTGAAAGCAAATAAAAATAAGCATTGCATTGTTAATCAAACGATTAAAATACACACCACAGGTTACAACTAAAACCAGTAAACTACTCAAACATTCAAAATGTATCCACAGTCTATTTAGCAATAGAAACACTGTAGTCTGTAGACCTGAAGAAGAAACAATGTCATTGTAGATGCTCTATTAACTGTGGAAGGGACAACAGCCAATGACTGTCCCAAAAATCTCACTTAAACATCTAGGGCGATTTCCAAAAGTTTCTTGAGCTTTTTCTTAATCATGCAAAATGAAATGAGAAATAGCAAATTCATAGAAAATGTGGGATCGGCTTTGCTTGCCCAATAGAGATTTAACTAATTTTTAAGTGAAAAAGAAATATATGCAATAAACTGGAACACTTAAAACCATGTAACAAACACAGATATTCCTAATCCTTTTTGTTTACATTTCAGGCAGCATATAGACATTACATGAAAAAAAAACCTGTCAACTTCTAACTGCATTCTAAAAGCAAGATTACATCACTGCTTACCTTTAATAAAGGATGGATTTTTTCTACTGGGAGAGATAATGGATTTCTTCGTTTCCTCTTCTCAATAGCAGACTGGGCATCAGCTATTGCCCACTTATCAATAGGATGGGGAAAACTCTTTTGAACACGATCCTTAAAAGAAACAGGACTAAAGGGTAAATGCACAATCTGAACGAGTTTAGCAAGATTACTACATTATCAAATCGTTCTCCATTACCTAACAAAGGAACATTTGCTAACATTTGCATTTCAGTTACAAAAGCTTGTACAAGACACGTAAATTTTAATCCTTTTGGTACATGCTGTTCACTATGTTCATAAGGCTGTATCAGAATATCATTATCATAGAACAACCTAGCGCTCAAAATTTGAGAAATGCCAGAATTAAGTTGCCACTGCAGGCACAATTTGCTCCCCTTGTGTACATGCCAGGTCATTCAGCATTTAAATACAGGAGTACATTTTATTCTAGCACTTTATTTCTGTACAAAACAGTCACTGAATGAGATTATGTGAGTTTTTTGTTTCAACTTTACTGATCAGCATATGGTCCAGGTAACGTACATGCAAATTGCTCTGATTATAGCAATAACCATAATAGGAAAACATTGTACAACAGCACCCAGATATTTTCATACAGTTTCACAGTCTACAGTTGGACCACACACGCCTCAGTTTGTTTACTCCCTCCAGTAGTCAGGGTGCCTGTGGACACCTCCACTCTTCCATGCACTGAACAACTCTCCTGTCAGAACTCACACAAAGGTCTCTGGAGCTTCAAAAGCTCACTGTTTTTGGTAGCCCTGGTGTTTAGAGACACCAGAAATCCAATTTCTCAGATAACTTCACGTTTTATTTTTTCAAACCACAGTTCCCAGTGACTGTTTCAGTTGCAAGTGCTCACTTACGTAAATATAACCCCTGTTTGAGCAATCATGAAATGAGGAAGATGAAGTTAATGACCACTTACAAAGAGCTTGTACAGGACAAAGTACACAAAAACTTTCTGACAAAAAAACTAGGACATAATATAATTCTATAAAGGTGGCACCCAACTTTCCAAAATACAGGCTTTTCTTTTCCTCCCATCGTAACACCTCTGCAGAAGAAAAGCAGAGGTCCTACCAGGAAAAAAAAAAGTCTCATTCACTATCTAATCCAAATTCACTCCCCTAACATAATCCAGCCTGCTGATTGAACAATGAAGACATCCTGGGGGAACAATAAATGTATATGAGCATATAATTAAAGGCAGCATTATTATGCATGAACACAAAGGGGATAAATTGAGGTTGCTTGATATAATGCTTGCATTTCTCATCCTGCCTCCACAGCCATAAGCCTTATAATGCAACACTGTGTGTCAAGTTTTTAGTTAGCATTGTTTAAAACACAGCTTTAAACAATATTCCACAGACCTCTTGTCTCTTGAGCTGCCAGACCAGAACCATGTTGCAAAACAGGACAGCCATTAAAGGGGACACTGGAACACCATTAGAGGTGTCAGTGTTTAAAAGAAAGAGGAATGGTAAAATTCAAGAATTTTTATCTCAGAGACAGCTACCTTTTTTTTTTTTAAGTGGTTTTTGGGTGTTTTGTATCTTTTTTTGCCAATACTCCACTTTCTTCAGAACGTGAGGAAGTTGCATCTTGTTTTGTTACCTAACCTGTAAGAGGCCCAGGCCAGAAGTACAACAGGCACAGTGCACATGGAGTCTGTAACTTGGTAACCAAAGTCTTCAAATCATGGTTAAGCACAAAGAGCTACCAAGATATTCGTGGGCTTAGAAACTTAACTAACTTCTCAGATGCAGAAAAGCATCTTAGATCAAGCCCTCTTCTCAAATATCCAAGTTGCTTTTCTGAGCAACAGAGGTTGTAGATCTGTGAAAAGGCAACTGTGAGCAAAGAAGTTTCTATGCAGAGGAAAGAAGTGTCCCTCAACTAATTTTGAGAAAGCAACTGAACTATTTGAGTTCAAATTTCTGAGGTGGCAGGGGGTATATCAGCCTAACTCACCATGCTGAGAAAGCAGCACAGAGCCTCAGACTAAGCAGCTATAGTTTGCAAGCAAAACCAATGGGGAATAAAAGAGCTTCTGAAAGGAACCAGTCAGCTTTATGTACACAAGTTACACTCACCATCTATTATACAGAAATACAGTTCAGAGAGTTTTAATATGGACTGAACAACAAATTCAACTGATAAGAAAAATCAGTTATTAGATAAGTCAGCAGGCTTTACACAGAAGGTTCTGCTACATAAAGACAGATAAATACTGCTCTCCTTTTCACACTGTGAAATTACAAATATATTAACTTTTCACATAACAGGTCAAATTATTACAGATTTATAATAATTATTCTCTATACCTCTACATCCAGAAAACTTCTTGGCTGGGATTGACACAACATATTTAACAACTGGAGAATTAACTCCTCCACATACTGCAACGCATCTTCAGTAGATGAAAGCTTAGGGTGGACTTGCACCTGAACCTATAGAAAATAGAAGAATTCAAGCTTTGAGTTTTGCTCTTCTCCAAACCACATGCTTTACTTGCAAAAAAAAAAAAAAAAAGATGACAAAAGAATGAGCTAAACAGCTCAGAAAGATCCAACCCAAAACATAGCTCTATTTAAGGCTCTCCAGACAAACACAAGTGAAACATTCATCTACACCTGATAGAAATACAAAACTCAAACGTACTCAAATTGCTGTGACATTTAACATCAAGAAAACGTCTCATTAGAAATGGTGCTTAGCAGTGCAATTAGGAAAACTGTTTAAAAACCCTGCATATATTTACCTTTCTCCCCTAGCTCTTAAATCACTGTTTGTACAAGGCAATTTATTTTAGACATGGGTTTTTCTACCTTTTACAACTTATTGTTCATCACTCAATCTACAATATTGAAATACAGAACTTTTTTTTTCTCAGAGAGAGCACTACAGAAACAGCAATGATTTCAGCACTATTTAGCATTCAAATTATTTAATCTGTTCTCCTCACTAAAATAAGATTGGTTCAAAAGTTTGTTTCCATATTCATTTTTTAAAAAGATGTCAGCCTCTAGAGTAGAAAACACTTCAAAAAAGGCCAGTGCTGCCCTGGCATTAAGTGGCAATTCTAAAGGTTTTGAAAGTTTGGTCCCCACACATTTACTTGTATGTCAAAAGTGTCTGTAAAATTCTCACTGATGTAAATCCACTGAGGCACAATCCCCCTTTCTCCTCTGATTGTTCTTCCAGACAGTCACTCAATTTCTGAAATGAGCCTACAGTACAGCTTCCCTTTGCACTTCTGTAGTTCATTAGATATCACAGTTTTAACCAGCTTAAATTTCAGGTAAACAGACAGGCAGTTAAAATACTACACTGATGGCAAATATTATGCCAGAGCAAGCTGAGTGATGACTTTCACAACCACCTTTCAAGCCTCAATTTCATCATGTTACTATCCCACTGCACAGAACTCAAAATGCCCCCCGTTCTCTCAATCACCAACACAAAAGCTTCACCACCATAAACCAAAACCCAACAATCTGTCTCATGCAAATATGAAACCCATGTTTATATTCAAATATTGGTGCCATAATTACTTTATTTCATGTTTGAGTTTTCATTCCCCTTTGCAGCTATAGCAAGAATTAAATGTTACAAAGCTCAAACAGAAATCCACTTGCCTGCTAAGGCATCATTAGTTTGCAAACTTCACGTCTGGGTATAGTCCTGGGGTTCATGTAAGTGCTGCTGAGATTTAAATATGCTAGATCATGCATTTAGTTTCTTGCAGACTGCATACCCTTACGCAGCAGGTCTTAAGAAACAGCTCCAGAAGTTACTGCTTTTTTAACTTAAAAGCACTCTGGTAAAAATAGAACAGGAGAACTTCTCTCCATTTGACTAGCTAATGCAAGTATTTTGATTATGCCAACAGTTTCATTTTTCCTAAGAACTCCACCATACACAGCTACAGAGTGTTTGTGGAGGTACCCAAGTAATGGCATGTCCCAAGCATTGTTTACAACTCAAACACTGACACCTGAAATACTGTACCAGCTTGGAACATCTTAACACCAGAAATTACAGGCTTGCTGAAGTATTCTCTTTAGGATCAGAGCTGATCTGAGCTGCCTTTAATGTGTGTGTTTGGTTTGGGGTGTTTTTTTTTTAAAGTAGAACTGAACAAATTTGTATGACATTCTCCCTACAGTATACTCCAGCACTTTTGTACTTTGAGAAGTGTTAAATTACCAAGTCAATCCCACAATAAAAATACAGAGTGTGATAAACCAGAGTGATGAAGAGCAGCTCCATTTTCTCCTTCACTTAAAAAACAGATTGCAGACTTAAATAGCCTCATCACAACTCTTTCAGTCTGTAACACAGGAATAAGAACAAATAAAAATACCACACCAAGTTGTGACCTGAAAGATCATCCATAGTCAGCAAAACCAGAGTCAACAACAATAACCTACTCCTAGTTTGGGAGAAAAATTTCCAAACACTTCCTAAGCATTTATGTTTAGGGGGTAATTACATCATTCTTCTCAAAGGCCATCATCTTCTGGCACTATCTACTTTAGGAGAGTATCTACCTCACCAGAGGAAAACATCACAAAGTGCCATTGCTTTGCCCACGTTAGGCAGGTCGTAAATAAGCTTCATTGCTACATGAGATTTAGTATTATTTAGGGTTCAAAGTCATACAAGCAAAAGCAAGGAAACAACCAGACTAACAAGGAAAATTACAGGATAGCTTGGCATACAATTATCACAGAAACATGTAATTTTAGTATCTGCACCACTGTAGTACTTAAAAGGCTCAGACTGAGCGTGGAACAGTGTTATTTGAGGGTACACAGAGCGAGTCCCAAGAAGTCTATTATCTAAGACATGACACAAGACTGGGTGAGATGCAAGATTTAGTAAGACAAGAAATGAGAATATCTGTTGCATACACCATGATGTGACCAGTTTCAAAAAATAAGATAAAGTTACCAGGGTGTTTCCATCTTTCTCATAAAACCAGCTCAGATTTTAAAATATAAAAAAACCCAAAAACAACTGGGCCACCCTGCCTTATCACTACTGAAAAAAAGGGAGTATGGCTTGAATCCCACTGGTCCTATTTAGGAATACACATGTTAAAAAACAGACTAACAGCCTCTGAAGTATACTGGTGTTTGGATAAGATTCTTATCTAAACATTTAAATTCTCCCTTAAATGACAGAACCCATCCCTTCCCTCCTACAAGCACACCAAAATGTCTATCTTTATGATAATGGAAATTACTAAAAGAGTAGCTTAAGATCTTCTCACAAAAGCTTCAATTATTCAAAATACACCCAAAAATTCTAATGGGCAAATACAGCTACAAATCTGTGGCTCCACTTTCACCCAACTCATCTGATCAATTTTTGAAGGTAGGGTCTTAGTACAACTGCAACTAAAAAATTCTCTAATGGGAAATGACCATGATTTTCTTTATTTAAAGATAGAGAGCCAGCATTTCTTGAACAGCTTTCCACGATCTGTTTAAGAACATGAGCAGAGACAAGCAATATCTGCTTAAGAACATTTATAGCACTTCAGGAAAATCCTACAATATGCCTGCCTGTCTTTTTTTTGTTCTTTTTTCCTTTTCTTCCCCCTTTAAAAATCAACAAAAGTGAGGAATTTTTCTCAGGAATGGCAACAGCTTAAAAATTAGGCAACCATAAATCTAAACTGCCAGAAAAAAAAAAAATCAATGAAGCCAACAGCAACAACAAAAAAAGTGCTTAATGATTAATAAAAAATAAATATATCTGATCTTACTTTATAACCATTAGCAACTTACTTTATATAAAACTTTCTCAGCTATTCCTCTCAAACTCCGCATAGTAAACTAGAATATAAACCCTCTCAAGCCTCACAAGAGGCAGTAGGGAGCTAGACCAAATCCAGACACAAGTTTCAGTTGGGGGACTGCAGATCAAACGGCTTCATCTTACAGAGGTTTGATCTCCAACTGGCCCAACACAACTCCTAGGCTGGCTGCAAGATGGCCCAAACTAGCATCTGACAGGCAGTAGCTCATTCTATGCTAGAAAGAGGTGTTTGGCAACAGATAAAGAAGGAAGATTCACACAGTGAATTTAAGTCTGACACTAAACCACACTTCCTCAGCAACAACTTTCAGTTACCTCTTCCTCATGAGGCCAGCATGTCAATCACAGAGCTGAAAAATCTCAAATTATGATGAAAAAAGCCTCTCCAAAGACTTCTTAAAACAACTTCACATGTTACACAAACACCAGTGTAATGCTCCCAAAGTATTGCTAACAATTAGTGCAATCAGGCTTGCATGTCTCAGTTGTTCTGCTCAGTAGAGAACACATCAGATAAACACTACGTGTGAAAGGCCTCAGAGGGATCACTACTGACCCCAGTGCCATCAGGAGCAGCAGCTCTGTCGCCTTCCGAAAACAGCATAACAGAAGGAAATAATTCTAAAGCTACATAAACTGAAATAAAAATGAAGCATCTACTGCTCACTGAGGTAATTTTTTTCATATCTGGTCAATACTACCCATCTGCTGGGCAAGCAGTCACAGCATGAATCAGAACCAACGTCTGCTGAAGAGCAGCTGTGCTTCACCGCTGAGTGCAGGTACCGCCACACTGCCGGTCTTTCCTGCTGGTGGCTGAAGTGTTTGCAAGAGTGTCCAAAGGAAAAAAAAACAAATATATTTATGACAGCATTTTGATAATAAAACAGAAGAAGCCACACTAAGACAACAAGCCAAGCTGCTTTGCAAAGCACTATTAGAGAGGGTGAAACTTTACTGATTCTAAGTATTTTTCTAAACCTTCACACAGTTTATTCAACAGATTATTAGCAGAAATGACTTAGCCACAGAGCAGGTGGTTTGGTTTTGTTTTCTTTGGGGGAAGGGGTAGAATTCACTTCAGTAACTCTGAAAGTCTTCACTAATATTATAAACCTTATTTTTGCTCAACACCTCTTTTGTTAATCTTCCCTCAGTGACTATAAGCCTATGGACAAGCAACTGCTTATCACTAAAACACTCCAGGACAAAATGTTTTATGCACAGCTTTCAGAGATGAGTGTTCTCTTAGTGCAAGTACTCCACAAAAAGGTTTTTTCTGTACATGTCTGCTGATATTTGGCAACCCTGGCCATGTTTTGTTACCTTGATCAATCAAACATTCAGTGAATTAAAACAAAAATTTCTTGGATCCACACTTGAGCAGCAATTCACTGAGGTCATAAGACCCAGATTTTTGCTAACATTTCTCTTGATGGATCAAGACAGCAGTATTATACTGCACCAGTGAGCCCATGAAAAAAACTTGCAGTAAAGTCTTGAACCATAGGAGGATCTTAACTTTATCTTCCATAGCCATCAGAAGAACAGAGAACCCAAAGCAAACAGAAATTAAGGACATTCTAAATCTACAGTGAAGCAGTGCCAAGAATAAGAAGTA